CTGGATTATAAAGATTAGAGATAATGCATTTTGAAAAGGGAACAAAGAGCACGTTGTGACAAATGGGTTTGTATAAACAGGAAGAAACTGCCTTGAAGAATAGCCTGTGAAGATCTTCTAATAACTGAGCACATGTATGTTCTAGTAAAAATACTCCAGAAGTCACTATTTCCCCCAAATGTGGCCTGATTTGTGTCATTCCTGATGTATGCTGGATTTTCTTTGTGTCTTGAATTATTTCATTGTGGTGTTTGTCTTGAGAGGGGAGTGCACAGTTTCAAACTCGGCCCCCTTGCAAAAATGCACCAGCTAGTTACCTTGTTTTCCTGCCTTTTATCTTTATGTACTATGTTGTAAGGAAGAACTTGACCGCCAGTAGCTGCCTTAGTTCAGTAGCAGTTACACAGTTCGTCTCGACAGCCTTATCGGATGGGGTTTGTGTAGTCAGAATGCTCTGCATAGAGAGTTACTATCACTTTTTGAAAACTCATTTGTTGTTGTTGCTATATCCATGCTGTTCTATATGCTTTCCAGTTTAGGAAAGGGATATTGGGACAGCAAATACCAGAAAACTTAAGAACTGAAAATATAAGGTGTGGTTAACTTCACTGATTCAGTAAGCCTGAAAAATAACTGGCCTTATTAAGAAATATGTGTACAGCACCTTTGAGGATTGGCACAGATGCTGTAACTTTGGCCATGAACATTGCAGGGCTTCAGCTGTATGGCACGTCTGTAGTCCCTGAAGCAGCATTCCGCTAGCGCTTTCAGCTGAGCAGGGAGAGTAAAAATAGCAATGGTAAACTTTCCCTCTGTATCACTCAAAGCTGAAGCCCGGAGCGGGGGGTGGGGGGTGGAATCAGTATCTTGTCCTCATAATTAAAGATGCTTTATGGTAATACATAGTTTGTACGTAGTGCTGTCAGCCAGAAAGCATTAAGTACTTTACAAAGGCAACTGGTTCCTTGTACAACACAGATGATGGTAACTGCGGAGGGACGTGGCCCAAGCCACAACCGTACAGCTAAGCAGACGGAACGAGAAGTAATTGTGTCCCATCCTCCTTCACCGTACTCGGTCAGCAATATCCCCAGCCTCTTCTGTCCCACTGACCTGTTGCTGTGCCTGAGGTCTCTTCTTACTCTGTGCAGGAGTAAGTTGGAGAGTCTGGGGTGTGGATTCTTAATAGGCACCTTCTGTGCACAGCATACTAGCATAAGGAAACTAGAATAGCTGGTAAACGTCATTTGTATAAATGGAGGGGGGACGCCCCACAAACCCCCCGTGTTACTGTTACCTGCGGAGTGTGTTGGTGCCTTAGCTACACCTGGCCTGGCTCAGAAAGTTGTAGGTGCAGATAGCTGTGCTGCTTGTGAAGATAGCCGGGGTTTTTTCTGCACGCATAAGAAATGTAATCTGTAATTCACATAATTTACTCATGGGTTATTGAAAGTAGACTAGGCTGGAGAACTTTGCCACCTGATAAGCGCTTGTGGGTAAGAGGGAGCAGAAATGCTTGTGTCAGTATAAACAGCAGTAGCTTTGTGTTTCTCAGTAACTGACTTCCCTTGGGAAAAAAGCGTGCCTGCCTTTTTTTCCTTTATTTTTTGCCCCCTTGTCAAATCAGTGTTTTACATGTGCCCACAGTAACTGTTTGAATTGCCTCCTACTTTGTCTTTGCTAAAGGCTGGTTTCTCCACATCGCGATGTTGCCCTGCTTGTTTTGAACTCTCTGATGGGCTCCGCTGGAGAAGTGCGGGAGCACAGCCACAGAATTAACTTGGGTCTCCCGCTCTGTCGGATGGAGCTCCGTTTCCACAGAGACCAAAGCTTGTGTGTTTCAAGAAAGATATTTTTAGGAGCTGCTGTTTAGCTGGTGGAAGGACTTTCTTCCTTAATAGGAGAGCAGATCGTAACAGGATTCCTCTTTTCTCAGAATGTCTTTTGCCTTTTTTTTTATCACGTTCTTTCCTTTTTTCTGTGTCACTTAGTTTCCCTAAGTGAATTGCCACCTTCTTACTCGCATCTGCTCTTCCTCTCTTCTGTTTCACTTTCTGTATGACTGTTCCTGTCGCACAAGAATCTACTATCCCAAGGGAGTTTGCAGAGAGTGGGGAAGGGACACCTTTGCTTAAAGGATACTGTATTTTAAAGATAAAATCCTCAGGTCATTTTGTACCTCCGTTGAACAGTGCTTGCTGAGTCACCAGCTGGGCAGTGTTTGTGAAGATGCAGAGTATCATGGAGCCAAGTCCTGGCCTTCAGCTCCAAGAACCTCGCACGTGTCAATTATTCATGGCCCTTGCTTATGAGTTGTCATATGTCCTTTGGCCTTGCAATAAATAAATTTTACATGTACCTGTTTCTGCTGATATTTGTGGTGAGCTTGATGTCTCGCCCTCTGATTGATGGCCTAATGGTAAAGGGCTTAAAAAGATAAATCTGTTACAGTAACTCTTCTGTCTGGGAAAGTTGGACTGTCCCTAACCAACACAGTCCCAGGGATTCTTTTAGTTGTCAGTCAGTAGGAATACAAAGTAGAAAAGACATTTGACCTAATGACAGGCTACGAGTGCACTAACTCAGTGTCCTAATACCCTTTTATGTTTTTTTTTTTTTTTGTCAAAATTGGCACATAGCCTTTCTGCGGAGTTAGATACTGAATAGCTGTAGCACTTATTTAGTGATGAAGAGCTGCTTTAGAGATCTCTGTGGGGTTTTTTAATGATGCTATAGACTGTATCCAACTTTAACTGGCATACTATGAAACTGAGATTTTTTTTTTTTCTAGAGTACCTGTTGCCACAGCAGCCAGGCACTCCACTTATGAGTTTTTTTTTTCAGAAACAAAATAACATCAAAAGGCATGAATCCAAAGCAGATCAATGTTGAGGAACATTGCCATACTAAGGCAATTGTATGTGTTGAAGGAATTCTCTTGCTGCCCTGTGCTGTCCTGTTATCCTGTGATTCTCATTCAAACATCTGTTTTCGTATTCTGCTTAGATTGTAAACCTTTTAGAAAGGGGACTTTACATTTATGATGATGTTAGAGTTCAGGATGGTATTGCAAAACCTACCAGCATTAATGTAATTCCATCCCTATGTAAGTGCCACGCAGAGGATCTTGTTCCAGTCCTGGTTTTTTGTGTTCCCTGATATTGATGCATTTCTGCCTGTCTTTAATACAATGCAACAGCTGGCATATCAGCGGAGTGGATATATGTGCTGCCTCCAAAGGTACACACCTCCAGCCCTCCCCACCCAACAGCTGGAGTGAAGTCCGTGAGGACAAGACTTTGCTCCACGATCCTGTTAACATGCATACCAAAATCAACTAGGCTCTACTGTGTGCTGGGCTATTTCTAACAGTAAGGGGAAAAAATTTTCCTGAAAGAGCTTCACAACATCTCTTTAAAAACATCAGGCCATGGCTGTGGTGATAGACCACCAACGTGAGCTGCTGCTTGGTTACCAAGGGGATAAAATTTTACTCCAGGGAGATATTTTTATACAGTTGCTTATTCATATTACAGTAGATGCCAAAAGCACTCTTATGCTCAGCAATATAGAAATATTAAGAAAATTCCAGTTTCACAGAGACTACAATCCAGTCTAGTTTTACTTCGTTGTAAAACCAGGCAATCTTGACAGCCTGTAGTTGGATGATTAGTACTGGATTATTCTTCTATTGTAATTTTAATTATTAATTGATTATTCTTCCATTGTATTTTTCTCTCTTCTGTACATACCGAATCATTTAGCTGCTTGAAAGTCAAGTACTGTCCAGGCCTGCCATACACCTTGCTATCAGCTTGGCAAGGAAGTTGAAACCTTCCAGGTGTACATTGGATATAGCCTAAACTATAGGCTGTAGTTTAAAACAATGATTTTCATTGTACAGCAGTTGACAGCAGGACTGTAGACAGTGTAGACTTGCAAAAAGACATGTTCTGCACAAATTATTTTCTACTAGAAATGCGTTCTCTTCAGCACTTGATTATTCTTGCAATAGGAAGTGGAGTTGTACATAAAATCTTCTAGGTAAATATTTGATAATTAACTGAGTAACAGCTTTGATTTGCAGCTTTCCTAACAAGTTGTAGTGGCCAAATACTATTGTATTCTTCACTTCTTCCTAGCCACTGTCACCTCCTCCTGTGCCCCTTCCAAATTCCTTTATACTTTGCATACTTTAAGTAAAAACTGAGTTAGTATCATCCTCAACTTTTTTGCAGCTGTGAAACAGCACACAAGCTAGGACACTTTTATAGATTGGATGGGAGTATTGGAAGCCATCCAGGACTCCCCATGAACCCTGAATTTTATGGAATGATGTATCTTTGTAGTTACAAAATAAGCTTGACATATTTGAAACTGGAAAAGAAAAATAAGGAATAATTTACAATGATCAGAAATGGATAAAATTACCAGAACTATCCTCTCAGATTTGTATCCTCTTTGGTGTCTTTAGCTACACTAACAAGGCAGTTTGGTCTTTTCGTTCCAGCTGTGTGGAAAGAAAAGTGGGCAGAGGAGTAACTGTCTTTAATGGTGGAAAGGTTGTTATCCTCCAGAATATGTGAGATTCCTGAGAGTGGGGGGAAGTCTAATTTATAATTTGTTGTGCTGTGGAGTAAAAGATAGGAGGTGTTCATGAAGATGGTGAAGATTAATGAACAAACTGACATTCCTTCTTTGAGGATAGCTCTATCCGGCCTGTGTAATGTTTTGATGATTTACTTTACTGGACTGTTTTAAAGTTCAGACTTGTAAATTCATCTCCTAGGAATAGATTTTAAAGGGCTACAATGGGGAGGAGGGATGCTTTGGTTTTTATCCCCCTCTCCTTTTGTTTTATTTGTTTTTCGCTTTTGTGATGCAAAATGTTTTGTGTGGGGGTTTTTTGTTTGTGGGGTTTTCTGTTTTGGTTTTTTTGTCGTTTTTTTTCTTTTTTTTTTTTTTTTTTTTTTTTAAAGGGATGCTTCTTTTCTCTACAGGTATGGTGTCAGTCCTGAGAACATTATTCTGTATGGTCAGAGTATTGGTACTGTCCCTACAGTAGACCTGGCATCTCGGTACGAGTGTGCAGCAGTAATCCTTCATTCTCCCTTGATGTCTGGACTACGGGTAGCTTTTCCTGACACTAGGAAAACCTATTGCTTTGATGCTTTTCCAAGGTACGTATAAACGCTGCAAAGACGGTTGTTCTATACTCAACATGCTCTTTACGTGTTTAAAAAGGACTGATTGTGTAACTTTCCAGGGAACTTTATTGAATTGTCACCTGCATTTTAAACTTCAGATAGGCATACCTTCTAAATCCAAGCAGAGATTTGCCGTGTAAGAAAGAGGCTGATGTCAGTCTCAAACTGACGTGATAGTCAGCTCAGTGAAAAAACAAAGTCTTAATGTTTACAACTAATTTTTCTCCTGGTTTTTGTGTTATGGGTTGTTAATATCAAAATTTTTATGCTGTCAAGTTTGGAGTAGTAGCTCCAAACAGTATGATAATATACTGTTAAGTCCTTCAGGCTAATGACTAACAAATTAGTAATTGTGTACACTTAACATCTGAGTCAACTTTGATTTAGAAGGTAATATGGTATCATGAAATGGATGTGCTGTTTTCAAGCTGCTTGTTAAAATATTGCTATAGTTTTACCAGATCAGCAGAGAAGGTATAGATAATTGCTCCTTTTAAAGGAAGAAAACAAGAGAGGGTCAGAGGCTGGAGTGTTAGACTGGTGTGGTTCACTTTTCAGCTTGGCTCTGCATGTCATGTGTAATCTCGAGGGAATGCATTTAGTGTTGCTTTGTCTTTGGTCCCTGTAAGTAAAAACACTTCTGTATCTTTGGTATGCTGTCCATATAAAATCACTAAAGATACCGAGACCTATATTTATTCCTCCTTGATGGACATCATGTAAGATCCTAATGTCTGTGACCAAAATAAAGCAAATTACTGTCCCTCTTTTGGAAGATTTTGAGCTTTTTTTAAGAAGCTCTAGAATATTTTTACATACAGAAAGCTATATACAACTGGCTTCAAGATAACACAGTTGCCTTTATAGCCAAGTGTTTCATTTGAAAAACAGTTGCAACAGACCTGAAGTAGAGTATCCAAATACTTGGGAATAGTAGACGTCCTGGGAATAGCAGATGTTCTAGGAATCTTGCAAAAGTTCTCATTTGACCCAGTTTAAATTATGGGAGAATATGAAAGGGGAAGCCACGCGCTCTATAGCAGTGTATATAGACCTGGGGCGGGGGTGAGGGGAGGCACAGATAAAACATTAAGTGGTCCGTGGAAGGGAGAAGGCAAAGCAGAGACTCACTGAAGTCTTGTGCAAAGCTTGGCTTTGCTGCAGAAGGTCATGTTTGCTGTAAGTGTAGCAGGGGATCTTCATAGCATTTGTTGTGTTTGTTTTATTTTGGTTACAACAGATTAAAATTAGAAGGTGGGGGAGGCAGTAGATATAAATCTGTATGCCAAAACAGCTATAAGTAATAGTGACCGAGTAACAGTGGCTCTCACAGCATCTGTGTCCAGTCCCCGTGTTTAGAATTCTTCCAAATAGGTTATTAATGAAGTAATTAAATTGTTGAAGGTGCAGGCAGAATTTGAAATGCTCATACTCCAACTCATTCATCATCCTCAAACCTGAAATGCAATATTTACAAATGCTTCTGCAAGAGGGAAAAAACAAAGCCTTAAAAATAGCTCGGATTACAAAAGTAACAGTGATTAGCAGATCCCAGCCAAATCAAATAACGGTTTAAAAAAGAAAAGTGGGAGGGGGGAACAGTGACAACAGATGTACTGTAGCACTTGAGTATTTTGTTCTTACCCTACTGAGCTGTTCATTGCTGTCAGTCTGACTTCACTTGTACTGTGAGCAGTGAAAATAAACAGCAGTGCACTTTTATGAATGTGTGCAGCTCAACTGTCTGTCTTCACGGTGGGAAACAAAATAGTTCTGTGTGCACCTACAGTGAATTGCTATTCTGTGCATTTTATGTTGGGACTCCATGAGAATTTGGTCTCTAGATTTTTCTAGCTGCAGAGCGGTATGACTAAGAATACTAAGTAAGTCTAATGTGCAGCTTAAATACTGCCTTATGAGTTGCTGAGTTGGCAATGGGACGCTTTCCAATTTTCTGCAAAATACAAATATTATCTAGCTTAATGGTCTGTGAATATATGTGAAAAAATAGTTTCATTATCTAAATACTGAAGTGAAAGGGGTTTTCTGGTTTCCTACAATAACTTAGTATCTAGCCACTAAAATTATGTATAAACATCTCTGTAGCTATATGTAGCTGACATGTCTGTCATATCATGGAACTCTGGGACAGACCTTTCATGGCCTTAAGACTTCACTTTATATAGCATGTTCATTATAAAGTATTTACATTTGGCCATGATATTAATTTGGGGATGAAAATGATGGAAAAAAAATCTGCATTATTCTGATGTCTCTCTTATGTTCTTGGGATATTTTTCTGTATTCAGCATAGTTGCACACAACTGTAGTTCCAGACAGGAAAAGTGAAATAGGCTGCATTTTAATTTTAAATAACACTTTTCCTCTTTAAATGACATGAAGCCTGTTTTTTTGGAGAAGTATTGAGACAGACAGAAACATGTTTACACTCAGCTGTTTACTGGAATACCAATGACGGTTCCCTAGCATACTAAATGCTGAGATTTATATGCATGAGGTTTTGTGCTTCAGTCTACATCTTAATTTTTAATTAACTTTATATTTTCATAAAGCTTCTTTAAACCTGTTTTTAAGTCAGTGTATGTTGGCATCTGTATTTTCTTAATCATTTTAAGGACTCTTGATCACTGTGTAAAATCTCTAGTCTTACCAAAATTGCATGCTTTCTTGTTCTTCAGGAGCAGGAAAATCCAAACACCTTTTATTAGATTGCTTAAAGAAATAGACTTGTCATTCTGTAAAATCAAGTATTACTGATACTCATTTTTCCACCTACTTCATCCCGTACTCTGCATAACGTCCTGAGCCAGTTCCTCCATTTGTTGATATAAGTGTAGAGCTGGTAGGAAGCTGAGAGGGTTCATTAGCACTTGCTGTCTATATACTGATTTGGAATTATTGGTAACTACCAACATGAAATGGCTGTCTGGAAATAAGAGCTGGTGTCTGCATGAAGACAGTCAGAGAAAGCTGCTGTTGACCACTTTGAAGTTCATGTGCTACCAGTATGCTTCATAATTGGGGTTTTCTGGCCTGATCTCGTAGGTGTGAAGGTGCTTTTGTCACTCTTCCCTTTTCTCTGAACCCATTTTCCTCTGAGAGGTAGTCACTAGCTATATTGGTCTGCTAAGTGTAGCTGGAACAAAAGGAAACTTTGCAGTCAGAGCTGGTGAAGAATTTGGTTGCACAAAGTCAAGTCCTGTGTGAGTTTTGTTTGGTTTGCAGTTAAATATCCTTGTCTTCTCCCACAGTTTGCTCCTGCGTCATTTGAACTTAAACAATCAGTGCAAAGAACAGATTGTTTTTCTTTAGCTGAGTCTGCCTAATTTGGGGGTTTAAAGACAGGCTCAAACCTTACCGGCTGAGGCTTTTTTAATGAAGTCTTATGACTGGAATGCAGTTAATTAGTTCCTAATCTGTTAAATTGGAAGGTGGTAATGTGTAATGTGAAGAGTCCACACTGGCAGGATGTCCCATGGAATCTTATTTGCCTCTCAATGGTTTTTGTGATAGATAACACTCACCGTTTTGGGGTTTTTTTTGTGCCAAACTTTATTTACATGCTGCCCATTTGAGCTTCTTGTGGTTAGAACTGGTGGGATGATGGTGATGGCAGTGCAGGCTCCTGTTTACATGTGCATTTTGGGAGTGAGCCTTGTTCCGTATCACTTGATTCCAATGTTTTGCAGCCAGTTAAAAACATGCAGTGGTAACTGGATCATGTATCAATAGTTAAGGTTACTTTCTTTTAATGGTATGAAAGTTAAAGCCCCAAACTGAGCTCTGTTTTTCTTTTCCATCCCTCAGCATTGACAAGATATCTAAAGTGACCTCTCCTGTGCTGGTAATCCATGGTACCGAAGATGAGGTAATCGATTTCTCCCACGGCCTGGCCATGTACGAGCGATGTCCACGAGCGGTGGAGCCCCTCTGGGTGGAAGGGGCTGGGCATAACGACATAGAGCTTTATGCACAATACTTAGAGAGACTAAAACAGTTCATCTCTCATGAACTTCCCAACTCCTGAAGAAGCCTACCTGATTTTACCTCAGTTACTGTGAACGGAAGAAATTACCTGGTTTTGCACATGCTTTAACTGGATAGCTGTAATAGCTTTATACTATGAAGAAATACCCTGTCTTTAGGGTGTTCTAATCAAACATCTGATGAAATTTGTCTTTTATATCTGGAAATTGTTCTACTAATGCACACAAATATGGTCAACTACTGTAATTCCAACAATTTTTAGCTTCGTTGCCCTGAAGGAAGTGGGAATACTAGCTGCTTATGGGGACACTTTTTACCTAGTGCTGTATTAATGAAGATCAGTTTTCTCTGTCTCACTTCAAATCGTTTATAATTCTGTCCTACAAAGACTTCTTTTCCCAGTGTTCTCGGTGTGGAGAACACAACTGTTACGAGCTACAGCTTGTTCTGAACAATCAGTCATGGGTTCAGTCTAAGGGAGTACTTCCTCTGTAAAGTTTCTAGCTGTGGTATTGTAACTGGAAAGTTATTGTGATGAAGTTCCCCCTCCTCCCTTCTAGTGTTCTTTTGTTAACTTACTGATCTTCCCAAGTAAATTATTTAAATATACTTTTTCCTGAAAATAAACAAACTACTATATGGGGCTAAACTCTGTAACGACCTCTCCATTACCTGTATAAACATAACTGGAATATTCTTAAAGGAACTAGGGACAAAATTGCTTTTGTTTAAAAATAAATGTGTAAATTTACTACTAGAAAACTCATTTTAATATTCAGATGGTCTGAATAATAGCCATAACAGACATTTCCTTCTGTAAAGCATTCCTGTAGAATTTTTAAAAGTACTGTACATATTTGAATTTACATTGTGCATAGATTCTTAATTGGTAGTTTTAATTTAAGTCTAGTTACAATAAACTGCAAAATTCTGGTTTGTATATGATTGAATACATTTTGTTAAAATATGTTTTTATCCCTATATTATTTTGCTATTAAAGTTTTATAAAGTTTCCAGGACAAAAAAAAATTTACACATTTATGTTTTGATGAATTTATGTAACTAAATTTTCATTGAGCTGATCTTTTTAGTTTAGAAGTAATTTGATTCTTTGACACTGGAATCGCACAGATTATGCATCAGAAATGCAAGACACATAAAAATTGTTACACTACTAGCATAGGTCTAATTTTTCCAAATTTAAAGGCCTTAAATGTACTGTAAGCCTCAGATTGTTGTATAAATTGATCGCGATTGATTGCAGTTTGTGTCCTGTTGCTAGAAAGCAACACAGTGATTGTAATGGAATAAAGGATGCATGGATTAGAGCTTGCTGAATTTTTGAATCTTCTTTGGTACATCATTTCCATACACAAGGAAAGTGTAAAGTACAGATTACTTGATACAGTAACTTGAATTTCATTATTTAATTCCTTCCTTTCAAGGATAACTCTCCTAAAGTACAAAGCCACGTTTCCATGAAGCTTGGTATGTAAATCAAATGTAAAAGAGATTATTTTTAAATGGTGTTCAGCTGGTTTTAAGTAATGAAATGTCATGATTCATTGCCTAGAAGAAATGTTTGAACATAGCTGTCATGAGTCCTTACAACAGGCCTGCAGTTAATTTTCAGCACTGCAAGTGTGTCTATTGTCTTTGATTATTGACTTGGCCCTATTACTGTAAAAGGAGAAAAACTGGTATTTTCACTTACAGTGGGGGGAAATGAGGACACCCATCCTGTTCCACGTCATCTGCATCCTTTGAATTTGGATCTGTGCATCTCTGTTGTCCAGGCTTGAGTTTCAAATATTCCAAGCAGCAGGGCTCCCAGCTGTTCTCAGTGACTATTCCAGGCAAAGTTGGTAGGTTTTGCCTAATCATCACCTCAAACTTGCTGCTTTCCTCCTGTATTTTAAATAAATATTCAGATACAGGTCTCTATTTTATTTTGCACCTTCATAAATCTGCAGTAGACTTTCTTCCATTTTTACATGTGTTCTTCCTGAGACTTTAGCCCTGTGGAAACAAAGCTAATATCTGTGGTACAGGTGTTCCAGATAACATTTGAAAGTGTAAGCCTGTCTGTGTAGTGACTTGGGGTGTTTTTACTTAATTAGGCAATGTTTTTGATACCCATGTTGAACTTTGTTCTGAAAACTTCAGCCTGCAATGTTTCTTTTCCTCATGATCCCTTGTAGCTGCCCTTTTACTTCAAAAAACTGATACTTTTAACCTTTTCCCTATAAATTGATTTTTTTTTTAATTACTACTTTTCTAACTCCTGCAGTCATTTTGTGACTTGTCTTTGCATTTGCTTTGCTTTTTGTCAGTATTCCTCTGTTAATGAGAACCCCAAATCTGAATTTGACACTGTCATGCATGTCCCACGCTCTCTGCACGTGCAGGCCGAGTTCACAGTATTCTGGCTGAACACGACTTCCACTTGTACTATCTTTTATTTGTCCAGTTCCTGCCTAACTAATTCTCAGAGGTGCCTCGCTGTTCTGGCTTCTGCATTGTCTGTTTTGCTTCGCAAAGTTCATCTACATTCAACTAACAAATGGTTTGCCATTAATTAAAATGTTAATGACCCATCAGTGATCCACTGGTACGGATCTTCTTCCCTCTCTTAATTCAATAATATATTTACCTCTTTGGTCCCTTAAATAATTTTCCTTGTAGTCCTGTTTCCATCCAATAGCTCTTAAATTAATTCTGATATCTTTATAATTTTCTGACATACCCTTTACACAAAATAAATAGTAGTGAGCTGCTTTATATTGTAAACTTGTACCAAAGCATCACTATTTCAGGCATTTCAAAACACTACTGCTGGTCAAATTAGAATTACTGGTTAAAAAAAAAACTGTGGCCCACTCATGAAGCTACTTATCAGGCAGTGGATTTCAGGTCCCCATTTGTTTAAAGACAAAAAGGTTAGAACAGAATTTTTAAATTACGGGAAAGGGGATGATGTGAGGTTACAAAAGAGAAACTTTGGGCTCAAAAATAGTCTGTTCCAGCAAACTGCTAACATTCTCACATTTAAATATATAATGTGGGCCTTTACAAGAACTTGTTATGCATATTTTAGAGCTACTGAGGTGTCACTGTAAAAATGGCTGTTTGTGCCTGGATAAATTATGCAACAGGTCTTCCAGGGGTGTAAGCGATCACTAACATTTTTTTACTTCCTGTGGATGCTCTGTCCATTTTTCCTGTGTGACTTACCATCTTTGTTCATGTAGTACAGCCATAGATGATGTACAGCTATTTTTCAGGAAGGTAAGGTGGGGCACATCTGTGTTTCTGTCAGTAGTTGTCTAGTGTTTGTACTTTGAAAAAGCCATAGGAAAATATTTGTTACAACTTTAAAGGTAGCATTTTCCAGGGAGTTTGTTATGCATCGTTTTTAAATTTATGTAGCTGTTACAAATTTAACTCACATTCACGTGGAGACCTGTGTTGCCTCTGCTGCGTTTTTCTTCCTCGTTCTTCCGTGTCATTCCTGTTACTTGTGGCAGCTCCGCTCTGGGTGCTGACCATATAGCGTTCTAAATGCCCAAACCTGTATTTACACTTAGTATTGTACATGCCTTTTATAAACTCTGCATCATGCTTGCTTTTTCCAAATGATGCTAAGCGAACCAGTGCACTTTCTTCCTCTGGTTATTCATTCAGCAGTAAACCTTGATTGTTCCCATTTGGAAGATGTTTTCTTCCCTAGGTCTGTTCTCATGAATGTAAATTAATGATCTTGTTTAAGTCCGTTTGGCTTATTCCTCTATATCCTTCTTTGTGGAATTCACCAGATAGTTTAGCTCTGAAGTGTCTTGTGTGGCAAATGCAGTCGTTTTGTACTCCCAGCGCTGGTTAAGGGTTGGGTGGCTCTTTGATGGTGGGCACTCTGCTCTTGGGAATGAGGTCAAGCACAGAAACTACCTGCTTAGTATTTATTGCTTTCAAAGTCTGGCAGCAATTCCTAGATCGGATGGGTGTGAATTTCAAAGCGGGAGGTTGTATTTCAACTGCGCAATATTTGGGTCTCATAACTTTGCTGCAACACAAAAAAGGACAAGCCGGTCCTTACATCAGGAGAGTGAGCACTTACTCCTTTGACACTTTGCCTCTGGCAACATCTGGTTCTGAAGCTCGATTCCTTCAGTAACCGAACTAATTTTGCAAAGTGTTCGAGTAACATGCCTGCTGTCTTTAAAAAAAACGGAAAAGAACCCAAGACGACCCCTATACCTTCAGCATGTTAATTGTAAATTGTCTCCTGGTTCCTGCAAAGGTAAACATGCTTCCTTCTGCATTTCCTTACGACGCAGCGGTGCCGTCGGCCTGGAGCAGACAGCATACTGCTTTCTGAAGTTAAACTCTGGTCCCTGGAGGTCTGCCGGGGCGTAGGCAAATTCTGGCCTGGGCCACTGTCCCCCCTGTGCTCGTAGCTTTGCCGGAGCGTAGGCAAATTCTGGCCTGGGCCGCTGTGTCCCCTGTGCTTGTAGCTTTGCCGGAGTGTAGGCAAATTCTGGCCTGGGCCACTGTCCCCCCTGTGCTCGTAGCTTTGCCGGAGCGTAGGCAAATTCTGGCCTGGGCCGCTGTGTCCCCTGTGCTTGTAGCTTTGCCGGAGTGTAGGCAAATTCTGGCCTGGGCCACTGTCCCCCCTGTGCTCGTAGCTTTACCGGGGCCTGCCGAACACCGAAGCGCGCTCGCTCTTGCGCTCTGCGTGGGACGTGGCTGGAGTTTTGCCATTCGGCAGGGACCGGGGCATCCCTGCTCCC